CTATTATAGAATAAATTTTGTTGTTTTGATTTACGTTAGGATTTCGTCTTTTCTCATGTATTAGGCTTTATACACCTTCAGATATTTTGCTTTAGTTAGTATTTTGTTATAATTCTCATGTGATAATCGTTTTTAACTTTAGTCTATTTTTGTAAAAATCTAGACTTTATTTTTAGGATTTTAATTGCTTTATTATTTTTATTTGTTTTCAAGTTTATTTTTTTGTATTTTCATTATGCTACTTTTGTAATTAACTTTATAATCTTTTTATTTTCTTATTCAGTTTTCTTATTTTCTTAGGTAAGTGTTCATATTACTAAATGCGGCCATCTTTTGATGCGACGATCGTTCTCATTTTTTCAATCTGATCGACGTACGCGCCATCATTTGATGATTGATGGTGAAATTAACCCGAGGGAATGGTTTAATTGGCATATGAAGGAATACCAGCCTTGGTATTTTGATCGGCATAAGTTTCTCTATGAGCAGCAGCAGTATGCTGCATTCTCTCATCTTCTTTGCCATCAGGCTTATTTCAAGGATATGGAGCATCTGATCCAGTACCCGCAGCCCGGAACGTATATTATTGATTGTAGGACATCACCGGCAAAAATGCACCGTTGGATTCCCCATAGCTATTGGTTACCAAGAGATGAGGTGGAATATGCGCTACAACTAACTGATGATGAATTCGAGGATATGTATGGTTTCAAGAAGCCTGGGAGGGAAAATGATGTAATTTTGGTTTCTCATGATGGCCTTTTCTCCGAGCAGGCAGGATGGGAATGGAAGAAGCAGTTTTTTCAACACGTGTATAATTATCGTGGTGGTACGAATGAACTATTTGGCGAGGCGTACCATGATTTTGTACCCAAGGATCGCTTGGATCCCTGGAAAGGTCCATACCCTCAGAGTGCTATCTTCGTAGATAAATGGAGCAAGCGAAAAGTCTTACAGCGCACTGGCCCATTTGATCGACAGTATGAGATGCAAGACTTTGCCCTCCCAGACTTGGAGTTAGAGAAGCCACGCCATTCTGAAGAGGGACCTCGGCAGCATATGCCGTATGGGCTGCAGTAGCTATGGGGAAATAGAGAGTGCTCATATTTCAGAACTTTTTTTACTTCTGAATGTGTTGCTTTACGAGGAATATTCTTACAAAAAACAATCCTATGCAACAAACAGTGGTGCAACAAAAAACGCTGAATTTGAATATTTTCTAGATTGATTGAGTAGTAAGAGTTGTTGGATGTTGGAGCTTGATTTATGAAAAGCAGTAGCCGAATGTTTTATTTCGGAGATGCACCCCAGAGACTATTTTTCCTCTCATTTTTAGGCTAAATACAGCTAACAAAAAGTATTTCTTTAGCAATAGATGCATACATGTCGCTCCTGCAACAGCCTTGCAGTTATTTCTCACTGAGGTGTCTAGTCCTGGTAAACAGGGCATTTTATTCTTATACTGGGAACACAAGAAGGCTCAAAAGTGGAAGCTGTTGCGATGAAGCTAGTACGTTGGATTGCCCACAAAGAACCAAGGAATTGGTTGGGGTATTGAAGGAAATAAATAAAAAAGCTACTGATGCTTTTGATTTCAACTTACAGCCAAGGGTAAAGCTGAATATAACGCGCAAACTTTCTCGGAAGAGATTGAAACGAGGATGTTATCGTATTAAAAGCAGCATCCCTAAGTTCCGTAGTATGTGCTTTGGGCGTTATTATTTCTTCAAGGAAGACGATTTGAGGGAAAACACTACTCTAGGAAGCGGCCCCGGAGGCCAGGCGACTAACCGTCGTAAACAAACAGTCATCTTAAAGCACAACCCATCGGGAATTATTATTCGTTTTAGTCGTTTCCCCTCATTATGGTGTAACAGGCGTGCGGCCCGTGAGCTTCTTAATCTGCGCTTAGAAGAGAAGCTTCTTGGAGAAGAATCTAGACTGGGGCAACTGAAGGCAATGAAAGAACGCCGTTCTCGACGACGGCAAAGACAAATAGACCGACTTTTAGCAAAAAGTAACGCAGCTAAGCTACAGAGATCCACTCAGAACGACTATTTATCCTTTTTGAAAGGTCTAAAGCCACTTCCCCCAGAGGCTGTGGCTCAAATTGAGCCCACTTGCCGGACTTTTTCCGGCCAAAATTTTTTTATTTCAACTCTATTCGGTGCTGAGTGCAATAATTGGTGGCCGATACTTCAAGGAGCCTTTTCGCGCGCTAATATGTCGTTCAGCCAGGATGGTATAACAGTTGGTTCTTCAACAACAAATTTTGTCTTCCTACCACTTTTATTTGAATACCTTTTTCCCCTACCTACAGTGTCGTCCAACGAGGAATCTTGCCATTCTGATAACCTCCAGTTGGAGCGATGTCGACACGATATGGTTGCGTTGGTGAATGTCCAGCGAGCCTTCCGGTGTTTTTGTGAGCTGTTTGGGCTGCGATTAAAAGAGCTGGCATCAGTGGACAGTTTGCCTGGCGTTGCTTTAGTTACTGATGGAGCGAACTGGCTTGAGCTGAAGGCTCGCATGGCAGATCCTCTTGACGGTCGACCCACTGCTTTTGCTAGGGTAGCATGGCCTCGTGTCTATTTTAGTTTAAGAGCACTGAAACTAATCCCGGAGGCAACCTCTGTAAAAACTTTCTTCCGGAGAGAAGTGAGGAAACATGGATCAAACTGGGCTAAAGAAATACTCAAAACAATATCTAGAGGAATCTAGCAGAGACCTTTACACTCTTTGTAGGCTCAGCACGTCTTTCTCTTGATTGACTTAGCCTTGGTATGGGAACTTCAATACTGTTACCAAACCCCACACAATCTTCACAAGTTTGAGATCTATTGTGAGCCCAATTATTTGTGCTGTTAATTTTCATGGTTCAACTAATATAAAACTATTCATTTCCTTAGATCATAATCTTTCACTCAAAGCGGTTTAGTAAGGATTCCACATGACAGACGATCAACAGGTTGCTGATCATGCATTAGATATTGCTCCGGAGACGATGGATTCTCATCTTTACTATTTGCGCTACTACGCAGGCCACACGGGTAGGTACGGCAACGAGTTCCTAGAGTTTGAACTGAAGGATGATGGGACACTAAAATACGCGAACAATAGTCAGTATCGAAATGAAAATATCATTAAAAAACAAGCTCGTGTATCTCAAGCTGTCCTTGAGGAGGTGAAGTCAATTATTGTGAAGTCGGCAGTTTGCGAGAGTGATGACGAGCAGTGGCCGCAGCCGGACCGCAACGGTCGGCAAGAGCTTGAAATACATCTTGGGAATACGCATATTTCACTGGTAACTAACAAGATGACCACTATGCCCAACGAAGGCCCTGACAAACCTAAAGGTCTTTTCAATTTTTACTGTTTCACACGAGATGTGAAGGCACTTGTACTCTCACTTGTATCTATCCATTTTAAGATTAAAGCAGTCTAATTGTCGATGAGTTGCCATGGGAACATTAAGTCGTATGGCGGTGGCGAGGGGATGAGAGAAAAATCTAGTCTCACAGAGGAACCTATATATATTAGAGTAAGAATAATATGAAGTTATACAGATTATTTTTACACTTACAATGATTAATGCCGAGCTGCACAAGTCGTGATAAGATTGTTAAAATATGTAAACTTCTCTCCGTTCAGGTTTTCGATGCACAAAATGTTTAAACAAGAAAGTACACTATAATCGTTTTGAACCAGGTGGCAAAATATGCTTCATATGGATCAATAATTCAAAATCTTATCTGGTACGTCACTCTCAGTCAAGTTCTGCGTGCCGTCGTTCTCAGAGCCCAATCCGTGTATGTATTCTGACGTTTTACCATAAGTGCATTCACAGATGGGACTGTGTATCTTCTTAATATTCATGAACAATGAGAAATCTACTTTAAAATGTATGTGGCCAGGTTTCAGCAAATACAAGACTACTATTTGACGGAACTAGGAACTGCCTGATTCATGTACTTTCCCTGGCTGCATCCTCACGAGTAGCGTTGAGGAGTTGCGCCCGTCGACGTGGTTAGATCACTGAACGCCAGGTTCTCACTCGCTACGCGAGCATAGTTCTCCCCAGCACCACACCCAATCTTGGCGGCGTCACAGGTGGAACTACCTATCCAACTCATGGATGATGAATATTCCGCTGGAGCTATTCTATTGTGAAGCACTGCAGGAGCGGAAGTTGATGGGAGTACACGTGGAGGCAAACCATACATTGAGTGAGATGATTGATTGAGATAAAGTTTGGTACGAGGACGCAAGGTTGCTTTTGGAGAATAAAGGAAGATAGCTTTGTAGTAACAGCAGACTAGGTATTTCGGTAGACTAGGCTCTTTCAAAATTTTTTGATTAGCTCAGATTTAGGCGATAATGGAGGCGATGTCTGAGTGAGATATTGCTTGTAAGACACACGCCGTTTGCAGGCAGCCTTATACGATACCAAGGTCCCAGACCTAGATCCTATAATTGTTAGGAATTTAGGGCTAGATAGGATCGATGAAGAAAACCGATGAGAATAGAAACTGGAAAAGATTCAAGAATTGTTGGAAACTTCGAGACTGCATGAGGAAGAACAGTCACTCGGCAAATAATGAGTATAATATCGCTTGCCATTTTATATATTGCTTTGACTAAAACCGAAGCATTTTGTGCTGCATACAAAATAGTGCTTCTAGAGGGATTTATGTATCCCGAATAATGCCCTATAGGCAACAAAGGGTTAGTATTATCTAGAGATATGCCTTTTAGATATTCTACAATAACTGTCTTTTAGGGGAAATATGAAAACAAATCCGAATAATGGGGTTTTTAGGTATGATTTTCCCCTTTTTTGCTATTGAAAAATATACCAATCTCGTGGTGAGACTTTTGTGTAATCAGTATCCTAACTTGAAGTAAAGCATATTTTTCTCTATTCCATCCTTTTTGGTTCACTTATTCACTAAATACTTCAGAGTTTTTTTTTTTGTATTAAGCACTAAGTGCCAACACATTTTGAGGAATAAGTTGTTGCTTCTAAGGTAGCGTCTGTGGTCTTCTGTTTGTTAATGCACCATGGCAAAGGGGTTCAAGAAACACAGCAAGCCATCGAAAGGTGTAGCCAAGAAAAATAGCAAAAACGATCCTCGCAAAAGAAAAGCTAAAAACAACAATCCTACCAGCAGCGTAAGCCACAATGTTCGAGCCGAGTTGGAGGCTATAGTCCAAGAAATCGAACGTGATGAGCCCATTCAAGAGCAGGTCGTAGTGGTGAAGAAGGAGAAGCGCGCCGAAAAGAAACGCCGCGAGATTGTGGAAAAGGAGGGAATTGAGGTGAAATCTGGTATGACTCTGAGGCAAGCGTGCAATATTGCCGACCGACTTAAGCGGCAGCAGCAGCCCCACAAGTGCCCTGATCCCGACTATGCGCGCGATGGTACTGAGGCCACCAACGGTGAGCACACCGAGGAGGACTACAGCGATACCGCAAACGAGCGTGCGGCTGAGTACCGCCGGGGAGGCTATCACCCGGTGGTGGTTGGAGATATCTATCACAACCGATATCGAATAGTTAAGAAGTTGGGGTGGGGTTATTTCTCGACTGTTTGGCTAGTCTGGGATTACCAAGAGGAGCGCTACCAGGCGATGAAGATTCAGAAGTCAGCTAAACACTACAGCGAGGCAGCATACGATGAAATCAGACTTCTTTCAGAAATTATGCAAGCTGATTCACACAAGATACGTCATTGTGCGCGGCTTAACGATTACTTTGAACATACTGGCCCCAATGGTACACACGTTTGCATGGTGTTTGACGTTTACGGTGAGAACTTATTGTGTTTGATGGAACGTTACGAATACCACGGTATCCCTCTGCCTATAGTGAAGTGCATAACACGGCAAATACTGATTGCACTAGAACATATTAGCAGTATTAATATCATTCATACCGACTTGAAGCCCGAAAATGTTCTTCTTTCAACACCAAAGCACTCCATTATATCCTTGATGCGACACTATCATCCACTGCCAATGCATCAAAGGCCACGTTTGACCGATCGTGATCCCAAAACTATGACGAAATCTCAACGACGCCGCTACTACAAAAAAATAGCGAAAGAAAAGGAAATGAAGCAAAACGGCAAACCAGATAAAGAAAGCACCGCTGTTGATGGGGCTAAGTCAGATGCGTCTGGCGTGAGTGAGGCGAGCTCAGAGGTTAGCAAGACAGATTCCGAGTGGGAGGTAGAGCGTTTCCATCATGTTATACTAGCAGACTTTGGAAACAGTTGTTGGACCTACAAGCAGTTCACAGACGAAGTCCAGACCCGCCAATACCGTTGCCCCGAGGTGATTTTGGGGGAGCCCTATTCGTCTCCCATTGATATTTGGTCGTGTGCCTGCATGATCTTCGAGCTCATTACCGGAGAGTTTCTGTTTGATCCTAAAAAAGGTGACAATTACTCACGTGACGAGGATCATCTCGCACTAATGAGTGAGCTGCTTGGTGACTTACCCGAGAGCATGCGCCTTGGCAATGGTGAGTATCGGGGAAACTACTACAACTCGAAGGGTGAGCTGCGCAATATAAAGGAACTCCGTTACTGGGACTTGGAGGCTGTGTTACACAGACGACATCGATTCACACGGAAGAAGGCAAAAGAGATTGCTGATTTTCTTCTTCCCATGTTGGAGTACATCCCTGAGAACAGGGCCACCGCCAGCCGGATGCTACAGGAGCACGAGAGCTTTTTTGAAGTCCAAGAGGATGATTATGAGCCGTTTTGCTTTAATGAGGAGGAGGTTGACAGATCCTGTAGCGAGGGGGATCACAGAAGCAGCACCTCTGCCGAGGAGAGCGAGGAAACGGCTGAAACATCTTCTTTCTCTGATGAAATGGAGGAGTCGTATGTCCCACGGCGCATGCAAAATGTTCATGAGAAGGCCGAGGCTTTCCGGTATTGGGAGGAACATCCTATTCTTAACAGAAGCTTTCTCGAGGGACGTGGCTTGACCATCGCTGACATTCAAGCCGTGCTTTCTGGTAAAATTCTCGACAACCCGGCTGCACAGGATGCCGCTAACGAAGTAATAAGGATGTTGTCTGAGGAAACAGAGCGCTTTTCTAACGAGATCACGAGTGATGGCCATGAGGAGCATGAATATGATGAGAACGACTCTGGATACTCATCTGAGGGTGAGGCCTCAATAGAAGAAAAGATAGGAGGAGATGCTACTAGGGGAGAGGCATCGTCAGAAAAAGTATCTAATGCTTAAGAGAGATACTCGTTTACGCGTCCGGAGTTGAAGACGACCGCTTTTCCTTTGACCTTTTTCTCCACTTAATAGATATTATCCTGGTATATTTTCATGAAGAAAAAAGTCACAGGTAGGAAGAAAAAGGCGTGTGGGTGGATTCAGATTGAGATTAGATACAATAGTTACTTCTCTACGAATGCTATAACATTTTAATAACTGGTAGGTGCATTTTATTGGAATGAATGATTTAGAGTGATTATTTTCTCTATTTCAGCTTCATTGCTTATCCTTAGTTCATATATATGTATATATATATATATATATATATATATATATGTATATATATGTATACATATATGCATATTTCATTCGCACATCCCCAATCCTGTGATGCTGAATTATCGATGTGTATATTTATACATGCATACTCTTTTGGAAAGAAACTCACCCCTAAACCTAATTTCTACTATTTTTTTAATTAAATTTTTCTATAAAGCAAAAATGTCGAAGAACCAGGAAGTCAAGCGCTACGGCCCCAACGTCAACAAGGAGACGCTTGTGTACGGCGTGGTGCACATCTACGCCTCCTTCAACGACACCTTCGTGCACGTGACAGACACCTCCGGCCGCGAAACCTTCGTGAAGGTGACCGGTGGCATGAAGGTGAAGGCTGATCGCGATGAGTCCTCGCCTTACGCCGCGATGCTCGCCGCGCAGGACGTCGTCGCCCGCTGCAAGGAGTGCGGCATCAACGCCCTCCACGTGAAGATGCGCGCGACCGGCGGTGTGGGCACGAAGAGCCCAGGCCCGGGCGCCCAGGCCGCCCTCCGCGCGTTGGCCCGCGCCGGCATGAAGATCGGCCGCATCGAGGATGTCACTCCCATCCCCACAGATTCTACCCGCCGCAAGGGCTCTCGCCGTGGTCGCCGTCTGTAAAGTGGCAACGAATCGATCATTTTTTGCATTCCTTTTCCTATATTTTTCCATCCCTCTTAACCTGAGGGATTAAAAAAGCAAGAAAATGTAGTCGATGTTGTGTGCATCGGAGTGCTTTTCGATTTCACTTGGTATCGCAGTTTCCAGATAGGAATGGTGTATGGAATAGATTTCTTGTTCTAACACCTGTCCACCCTCTTTTTCTTTTGAACCATTCGGTTTAGATAGTTTTTTCTTCCTCGTACTGGTTTATTAGGAATTCATTTATTATTATTATCTAGCATTTAGTTATTTCAGAGTGGAGATGTTTCGGTTTTCAGCGCAACGCATGATGTCAAGAACCCTTGGGCTTCTCACTTCGTATGGTGTGCCTGAGGGCTTTGAATTTCTCGAACACAAAGTTGTCGACAAGGATATTCACGCTAACTATGAGAATCTGGAGACTCTCAAGTTAACCCTAACTCGTCAAGATGAGTTTATTTTCAACGAAAAGCGCGTCAAGTGTGTTACTGTTGCTGGTACCAATGGTGAGTGTGGTATTTATCCTGGCCATGCTTATAAGATCATTAAGTTGACTCCGGCTCCTATCATTGTGGAACTAACCAATGGAGCCATCAAACGGTTTTTCGCGAGCGGAGGTTTTGCACACGTCAATAACGAAGGGTCGTGCGATATTAACTGCATTGAATGCATTCCCTTCGCTGAACTAGACCTTGACGCAGCTGAGAAGGCACTGGTTGAGCAGAATGCAATTCTTGCCTCTTCGAAAGATGAAAAGGTGAAGTCGGTAGTCGAAATTCGTATTGGTGTTTTGGAAGGGGTTATTCAAGCGCTTCGTAGCCACCAGTAGTTACTTGTGTGTAGGTGTTCTTTGCTGAAAAGGGGGCAAAAATCAATTTAGGTCCTGTTAGGTGTATGATATTGTTGTTGGAAGGAGTATTACTTTAAAGTCGAACTTTTTGCCTTCAACACAGCTATCGTTAACTTTATCGAAAAATAAGTGGCCATCTACTCCATTGAGGGTATGCTAGAAGTAGGATAGTACAATGAAGATTTTTTTCTCAACCTTTTTATCGATGTTTGTCCGTGCCCTCTGACTCGCGCTAATTAGCGATATGGTTTTGAACTTCATCACGATATATTTATTTGGCTTTCATTGAAATATTTCCTCTGAATTCCTTTTCTACCGGTTTATCACTAAACATTTCCCTCCCCCTTCTCTGAAAGCATTTTGTTGCGATATAGTTGTTTCAATTTTTTCATTACTACAAAAAAAAAGGAAAAAATTGCATCATATTATAGGGATGTCGGATCAACCAATCGTGATTCACTACCAGCAGATGGAGGAGTGGCTAAGCGATAGGAAATCCGTTTTTGAACGAAAGTTTAGGAAACCATATCACGTCCTTCTGGAGGTCGCTCCAAGACTGGTTCAGCTTATCAAATACGATATTCCAGCACTTCAAAAGCAAATAAAGAAGACGGAGAGCACGCTCGACGAGTGTGAGCGTGTTTGCGTCGATGCCGACCGTATCCAAGCGAATCGTGCCCAGAAGCGACTTGATCTTCTTTCCGAATATGGGCTTTTGCGGCATCTTTTAGATAAAAGTGATCGGGATATGGTGCAACACGCTTTAGATGCTCGAATTGATGAAAGCTGTTTATCTTTAATGAATTGTTTAAGGTTGTATGCCAAGAAGCATTTGACTTTGTTTAGGGAAAACTACGTAGACTTTTTGAGCAAACATGCGCCAGAACATTTTCCCCCCGGAGTGTTCGATGCTCACTTCCCCTGGCTTTCCTATCTAGAAAAGGGCCATTCGCTGCCACTTCCTGACCACATCGGCCGTGTGGGAGACGACACACGAGGAGCCGAGGGTGACGCCATCGAGGGCGAGGCGCAGATCATTTGGGAAGATGCGTTTCTACCGCTAGACGGCACTACGGTTGAGATAACGTGGAACGCTGCGGATGAGAAGGTTGCCGCGCGTAGCGACAATGATGGCGAACTTCCTATCTACGATGGGAAGTATTTTTACCTTGATATAGCCAGGGGCTTGGATCGGGCAAATATTCTCAATGAGTTGCATGCGTCCTGCTGCTTCGCCTCTGAACGCGTAAACGAAGGCGGTCACACATTTTATGGTTTTATTGCAGCGACAAAGGAATTGATACAGCAGCTGGCTTCTTCCACAGACGCGGAGCTGATGCGCATGAAGCATAGCTTTAGGCTGAAGGAGGAGTTTCTGAGCCAGATTAGCCTTTTTGATCGCTCTATTGCAGCAGCACAAGCGAGGAAGCAGGCCCACGAACAGAAGATTGTGGAGTCGCGTCAGGAGTTACTTAAACTGGAACCACAACTTAACTTTCTACTTGAGCGTGCAAAGTCAGACCGTGATTTATGCTTGCAAAACTTACAAAGTATGTTTCCAGGCAGACAAATTACGATGGTTGGAGATATTAATAAGTACATCTGAGGCAGTTCTGTGTTATTTTTTACACAATGATTACCTTCTTGTTACTGATGAAGGGTGTAGTATAACCTTCTTTAGTTTCTATTGTCCGTTCCCCCCCTCCCCCCCCCCCCCCTTAGTGTTTTTTTACCCTTTCCATGTACGCTTTCTTAGCTTTTTGAAAATCAAATTTATGCTCTGCTTTTTTTTCCACTCCACACTATTGTTTTGATTGTTCTATGGCATAGTTAAGTCCCAGAGAAATATTGTCAACAAATAGAAGGCTTAATTGTTAAGGGACATTTTATTTTGCTGGACATTGTGCTTCTTTTTGCTTATTAAGTATGTCAGAGAAGCCTCGTAAGAAGGCAGATGATATTCCAGCATGGCTTGATTCTTGTGTTCATGTTTGGCGCAATAAGTCTGGTGATCTCACCGTCGTTAATTTACGGGAGCCTTCTGAGAGTATGAAGTTATCTGCTGGAGGGATGAAGGTGGCGGCCTCGACAGCGACCCCACCGCCTGTTAAACTTGGCCAATCGGATAGTGTCAACGCTCTTCTTGCACGAATTCATAGCAATCAACAAGCCAACGATTTGGACAGTCCTACTGAATTGCTGCGGATGTACCAGAAGCCTTCGCTGTCGACTCCCCTTACGACGGCGGAGGCTCGCATTAGAGTATCAACGTCCTCGCAGCAGCAGGAGTCTCACAACCCTGTGTTTCCGGAACCCACCAATAGCACAGCGAACAACTTTGAATTTATCAGTGGAACCAACATTCCAGGTCGTGGCCTGGTATCTGACGGAAAGCGTGAGCATGGCACACAATGCTTAGCCCTCTTTCACGACCCTCTATGGGGTGACAGTTCGAATACGTGGATGCCGTCCTCCCAATCACAAGAAAAGGAGAAAAAGGAGCCCAAAACACGAACATTTTTTGCCACCTCCGATGATGCCAAAGGCGCTCAAGGCGCACCGCTCCCCCAGAACACCCCGATGTACGTGCCTTCGGCAACACCTCCCTTCCCATCTTCGGGTCCTTCAGGCGTGCATCCATTGGTTGGTGGTATGACGACACTTCCAATGGGAGCAGCACACACAGCGATGTCTACCGGGGGCTATGCCATGTATGGGATCCAGATTCCTTTCCTACCTACTGTTCAGCCCACATATACACCTGCAAACATTGTGCAACTCAATCCTTTTCATTACTATCAAGTGGGAGGAGCTTCATCCATTCCACTCCATCCGATGCAGGCAAAAAAGGCGCCACCGCCGCCGCCACCACCACCAGCTACTGTTGTTCCCATGAACACTTATAACAAGATGTTGCCATCCCGCTCAGGAATCAATGTGGAGGCGACGCCTTTTATCCCTGGAGGCGGTAAGAGACTTTGAATAATGATAAAATGTATTTTTGTTTCGTTTATTCAGGTTAACTGGTTTCCGTTCGATTTATTCTTGAAATATATCTTTCTCTACGAGCATACTTTTCCATTTTAACTTCACTCTTCGTTCTATTTTCTCTTTTTCCCAAGGAGTTTACGTCTTAAATAACTTCTCACGGGGCAAGTATTGATCTCAGTTGCCTCCTATGCTGATTCAGTTTTATTTTTACTATTAAAAGCACTGGCGTCGACTCTATCGTGCTCTCATCCCTTTTTCAGATTCAACTTTTTGGTTGCAAAAATTAGGGAAAGCATGCTGCAAATCAAGAATGGTAGAAGTTATAAAGGGAAGTATCAACAGCAAAAAAGAACTGCAAATATAATTATGAAAGCTGTTAACTTTGCCACTCATGGGAGGGAGAACATAAATTATTGGTGTGTTCATTTTATCTGCGATGAATTGAATCTATTAAACTTTTTACCGATCTGTATTCTTTCTGATGGTACTGCCTTTGCTATGTTGATCTAGTCGATTCCTTTTGAATTCCAAATTTGAAAATTTTATGTCGCGTGGTGTATCTGTGTCAAGGAGCAGTTCAACTCAGAAGAACTATAGTTAAGAAGAGGTCAGGTACCTTTGCATCTTATTCATCTGTATCCTGATCATAATGTCAAAAGGGTACGCAGTGTTTCCATTCATACAGCAACCAAGGGTTACTGTGATTAATGAGGCCCTCATCCGCGACAGCATCTATCTGAGTCCTACCATTTCCACCGAGGAGGATCGCATACGCGTCGTCAACAATTGCGAAGAAGAGATCTTGAAGGACAAAATGAAGAAGCAGGTGGAAACGATGGATTTATATGATGTTACCACATTACTCCTATCTTTTAGACACATTGGTAAAATTGAGAATCTATACGGGGTTGGAAACTTAACCAAGCTAAGTCTCGATAATAATCGCATCCAGAAAATCGAAAATTTAGACCACTTGACATCCTTACATACCCTAAATCTTAGCTATAACGAAATCACTTGTATTGAGGGCCTTGACTCGCTAGTGAACCTAGACAATCTTTCATTGTATGCTAACCAAATCGTTCAGTTGGGTGGTCTTGAGAATCAGAAAAAACTAACCACATTAAGTCTGGGGAAAAATCGCATTGACAACCTCGACGCCACACTCCATTATCTTCATAACTGTCGAAACCTAAAGGTGCTCACCCTCCGGCATAACCCCATTGAATCTGTTTTGCGCTACCGGGTCCGTATGCTGGCGTTTGTGCAGACGTTGCGCTTTTTCGATGGGACGTTGGTAAGCGATGATGAAAAGGCGAGGGCTTGCGAGGAGGAGCGAGAGAACTTGTTAGCGATCGACGAAAATGACGAGGTTATCCTTTTTACTGGAAAAGCGAAACAAGAGGAAGAGCGAAGCAGGGAAGAGTATCTCCGATATAACTGCCCCGACGAGACGAAGTTGTTTGATGAGCTTTTTGGTCTTCAACTGGACGGATGTAACATGTCTGAACTCTTACGTTCCGAAGCGGTTATACCGTTCTCCAAAGATACACTTGAGCGATATCAAAACGAGTTTAATGAAAAGGCCAAGGAGCTAGCGGAGGCCATGAAGATGGTCCGCAACCGTCGGGATGGGGCGGAGGCTTCTAGTCGGAAGGCTCTCCGTTGCTACAATGACAACATCGCGGCCGAATCGCGCGCTTTGATCAAGGGGTTTGAGAGAAGTCTTAAAGAAGCAGTCAAGATCAAGTCACTAGAATCCGATATATCTGAGCGAGATGTGCTTAGAAATTACCAAGAGGATCTGGCTACGCTAAAGAAAGAATTGCTGATGAGGGAGGCGGAGCAGTATGACATGTATGAGTCTCTGATTAATAACACCATAGCTAAATGGAGAGCTGAGAACGCAGACGTCATTCTACAGAGCGCTTTTGAGAGCTTCTTCAAATTAGAGGGTGATTTCCAAGCTTCTCTGCGCCAAGTGTTCGATTTTATGTCTGAGCAGATTCAAAAACGTGACAAAATAGAAGACTTTTACACACCGGGACGTTTAGATGAGACACTGCTTGTTTTGTTAAACAACAAGGAAGAGTACCAAAAGGTCATAAATGAGTGGTTTGATCTTCGACGAAAGCGTCTGGAGGAGTTAGAATTGTTCCACCTTAAGGCTGAGGAAGCCTATTTGAATAACAAAACTGATGAAATCATATCGACTGAGCGTGACCGCCATCGAAATTGTCTTTGTGAAATTGATGAATTTGTCGAGCGGATGTCGGATCAGCTTCTCACGATTAGCTTCAAATGACTTGGTAATTGCTTTACTCAAGGGAAAGATGAGGAAAGTGAAGACAGGATTCTATTATCGCTGTGCTAGTACTGCTTTGTGATATTTCTTTTCAATGTATAGAACGACTGCACATTCGCAATATCGTTTGAATGTAAGACGCCATGGGAAACAGAAAGCACGGCGCTCATTACACCAAAAACATGATAGTTTATCAGTTAGTCTATTGAGCAGGGAGAGGGAGACAAAAACTGTTTTAGAAGTAAAGGCTCGATTAGAGACACCTGCAATAGATGATCACCATCCTTTTTTCCCCTTCTCTGACACTTATTTTTGTCTTGAATCAATCCATATGATCCCAATAAGCGGAAGAATCAAGGATGGGAGCGTTTATGTACATCAACGAGCTATGGAAGAAGAAGTCTTCCGATGTGATGCGCTTCATTCAGCGCATCCGCTCGTGGGAGTTCCGTCATCAGCACACCATTGTTCGTCTGCGCCGCCCGACGCGCCCGGAGAAGGCCCGCATGCTTGGCTACAAGACGAAGCAGGGCTTCTGCGTCTTCCGCGTGCGCGTGCGCCGTGGTGGTCGTAAGCGCCCCGTCCACAAGGGCATCACGTACGGCAAGCCCAAGACCAGCGGCGTCCTCGGGATGAAGCTCAACAAGAACAACCGCGCGATCGCGGAGCAGCGTCTGGGCAAGCGCTTCGGCAACCTGCGCGTGCTGAACTCCTACTGGGTGAACATGGACTCTACATTTAAGTGGTATGAAGTCATCGCGGTCGACCCGATGTGCAAGACGATCCGGCGTGATCCTCGCGTCAACTGGATCGTGAACGCCGTCCACAAGCACCGCGAGCAGCGCGGCCTCACCTCGGCCGGCCGCAAGCACCGCGGTCTCTACCACAAGGGCCACAAGGCATCCAAGCTCCGCCCCTCCTACCGTGCCGCGTGGCGCCGCAACAACCGTATGGTTTTCCTGCGCAAGCGATAAAGAACGGTGCCCAGCTCTTCTGCGACCTTTTCTATGACTTTGTTTTATTTTTGTTTGTTTAAAAACTAAAGATGAGGGCAGCTCAACCACATCAATCGTACTTCGAACGGTTGGGTTCTGCTTTCGCCCTTTTTTCCTGCACCATACCCCCTCCCTGCGAATATGTCTCCTAAACTCACTTCATGATATCTTTTCGACCCCATTCGTTTCACTTTTTTTTTGGCACTACACATCATTGCTACAAAAAGTAGTTTTCCGATCCCCCCTCCCCTTTTTTTATTATTAAACGACGGTTTAGCTACGGCTGGGTCCTTTTTGCTAGATGCCTGTCCAGCCCGAAGTTCTGCCTACGCCGGCTCGTCTCCCACCTGATGACGCCCTTTATGCCATCGGAAGGCTTCTCACAACGATACTGATTGTCATTGGCATTATTTTTGGGGTGATTCCTATATTATGTGGCACTGTCTTTCCTCCCTTTTCAAGCCTTTGGAATATTCTTATTGCGGTTTCTCCATACGCGTGGGCATCTATAGGCGTCGTTCTTAGTATAGCATTATCGATATTAGGTGCCACTTGGGGAATTCTAACGAGTGCGGCTTCTGTCAGCGGTGCTGCGATTCGTTCCCCTGAAATTCGGAGTAAGAACCTAATCTCGATCATTTTCTGCGAGGCGGTTGCTATTTATGGGGTTATTCTTTCAATCATTATGATGGGGAAAATTCGTGCTAGCACCTCCACCGTAGACTCGACTGGGTCCTACTCTTACGATTCGAGGGTTGGCGGCTACACCCTGTTCGCCGCGGGGCTTGCGGTCGGGGTGGGCAACCTGGCGTGTGGAGTTTCGGTCGGCATAGTCGGCAGTAGTTGCGCCATCGCTGATGCACACAACAGCGCCTTATTTGTGAAAATTCTTATTATTGAAATATTTGCCTCTGCTCTCGGAATTTTCGCAGTTATCACAGGCATTTTAATGGCGCAGAATGTGAACATGTCTTGAGCATGAATGAATATCATCCCCCCTCTCCCCGCCAAAAAACGAAAAGAAATAACATAGTCGGTAATTTTGAGAGAGCCAATGGATTTAAGAGCGGTAGATATTTTTAGGCATTAAAGTTGTAACGAAACGGGTCAAAGTTGCCTACAGTGGTGTAATGGATGCGAGTTCCTTGGGTGTTTTTTATATGCTTTTGCATTGTTTTTTTTTGAAATGGGTTCCCACAAATAGGGTTAAATCTATCTAGACGTTGTCGACACTTTCAACACCTCGTTATCCTATATTCAAGCCCTTTTTGGATGTGGTGCATGTTTTGAACTGAAGGAACTGCTTTTCCTTTTTTTAAAATAAAAAAAACAGCCATCGGTGACATGTAATAATCTTAAGGTTTTATTGCACTTTTATTATCACCATTGCTCCGCTTTATTTTCTAAACTTGTGAAGAAAAGCAATGAACGCCCCACAATTGATTGTGGCGCGATTTACAGAGCTCGTTGAAAGTGGGAAACCTGAGCTTGCCATCAACTATTTGAGTCCTGATATCATTTATAACTCTTGGATGGGTGTGGTTGAGGGGAGGGACAATGTAGTTAATTTTTTGCGGGACAACGTTCGTTTTTCACATCACTCTAGAAGCTACGAACGCTGGAGGGTTGTACAACACTCCCTGGAACCCCACCTCTGGGAGGCTGGATCTAGTCCAAGGCCTATTTTCGACGATACCGGCTATGATCCTGATGGGTTCGCGACTTTTGAGCGCAACGGTACGATCTCCACTCGGCCGAGGTTTGTCTTTGAGCGTGTCCGCGTGAAAGAGACAATCGTTGTTCAGAATGGTCTGATTATTTTGGTTAATGTGTCGAAGCGATTGTAGCATGCTCGTCTTCTCAAATCAGGCTAAGAAGTCCTAGGATGCAAGACTATTGCACGAAAAAAAATGTCTGAATGTTAATTACTAGTGTTTTATCTTGATATAGAGAGTTTCTTGAGTTTTTCTTTTTCCAGTGAACCTAAACCATGCTTTTGTTCTTACCCTATTCATACTAGTGTACTAATTCATTTTTCGTTTTTAAACATATTTCTGCTTCCTATATTTCCGCCCTTACGCAATCATTATGCAAGCAACTGAGCCCGAGCGTGTGAAGGAGCTCGAAGCGGCGATCTCTCTGCGAAGGAAAGAGATTGAAGATCTTGAGAAGCAAAAGGCGCTATTCCAATCGGAAGCGCTGGGTTCGGATTCGAAGCTGCAGCACGATCCCCTTCTTTCTTCCTTTCCAGTTATTGAGAACTATGTCGAGTGCTCAAAAAGATCCATCCAGGACATCCCTGTGGAGCAGGTGGTTCATGTACTGTCGCAGCTCACCATTGCGGATAGGGCGATTATTAAGCAGAACAACAACGATGCTGCTGAACTGAAGGGTTTACAGCGTGAGATTGAGAAGCAGCAGAACAAACACAACTTGCTTTCCTCCAAGCTCCGAGAGCTATCGGATTCCATCGGCCTCAGTCGACTCTCCGCGAGTCAGCAACAGCAGTGTGCCAACATCCCCCCTTTGAAGGAATTAAAAGCTCGGAAGAAGCTTGTTCAACGAGAAATTCAAGCAGGGAATGTCGTGCGCGAGAAGAAAGGTAATACCATCACCAAACTTTCTGCTATGGTAGAAGCCCGCAGATCTCTTATCGATGAAATCGATCAACTGTACAACCAGTTGCGTGTCGTAGATTGTGATACAACCATTGAGATGGAGAAAATCGAACGCCTGAACGCTGAGGTAGAGGATGCGGACTTATACCTGGAGCGGAAGCGACAGGAGCTGGACTCGGTTTCATTTTTATTGGTTAGACAAGACGCAATGGAACTCAAAACTGAAAAAAACGAGGTCGTGAACTCGCAACGCATTCCACAGGAACGAGTTGTGAAAGCACAGGACTATCGATTGGCTCAGTTAGAGAAGCGCTTGAAGGCAGTTGAGAAAATTCTCCACAATAACTATCTTAAACGTGACGTCGACAAAATTCTGATTAACAAGTGGTCCTCCAATACTATCGACGTCTCAAAGGATCCCAAGGACCTCTATGATATTGAGCAGATTATTCCAGCACAGGAAAAAATTCACCCCGGTGTGTATAACCTCTTTCTTAGCGAAAAAGAGAAGGTGTCTCACACTGTGAGCCTACTAAACATTGGAACGAAGGAGAAGGAAGAGGTCATTGCGTCGCTAGTTTGCAAGCTGGAAGCGTTGTGTTGTGAGTTCAACATGATCATAGAGGAGTTAGATGAGCTTACTATCAAGGCTACTCACATCGAGGAGGCAGAGCGAAAGCGGGCACTTGCGTTTATTCAAGAACAGCGGTCCTATATTTACACACTCACGCATGAGAAAAAAAAGTACTCAGGTAGTTCTATGAGACAGTAGTGTTTTTGATAGTGATACTCAGTTGGATTCCCCATGCCCTATACCCCTCTTTCTTTTCTTTTACTCTTCCTTCCAAATGCATGAGACACGCCTTTTCGATTTGGTGGTTGCTATGTGGGGGAGAATTCTCGTGAAAAAATAGAAAAACTGCGAGAAAATACCCGATAGAGGTGTTAGTATATGTGGACATAAGGAAAAACATCATAAAAACTTAACCTTGAAAGAAGTTAGAGAAAATGTCTGTTTTCAGTATTCAAATCAAGAGAATATCGATCTATATATATGTTCGGTAGAGTTTTTGGTTTATTAATGCTGAGAATCAATACCCTCCTCGTTTTTGAGTTTTGATACAAGCGTTCGTAGAAAACTTGGCGATATTAATGGTAACTATTATTACCGTTGTTGCTATTCCTACTTTTTTGTGTGTGTACATGGGAGAGGGGGTAGCACAATTTGCTGAATGCAGTTTTTCCTTTGTCTTTTCCTTTTTCTCTACCAATCTATTGGTACCTATCACAATTCACTTGTAAAGTTTCGACGAAAAAAGAAACATTATTATTTTTCAACCTAAGAAAGCATTAAAGTATGCCCTCTCACTCTAATTTACATAACAACTCCGCTAATGCTAGTATAAGCAGCAGTGAGTTTCGTAATCTTGCGATCCATAATGATGCTGAGGAGGCTGTATGGTTAGGGTGGAATAATCAATATGAGGAAGCACAGAGAATTCTTTCCAGGAAGAAAGATACCCATCCGCGGTGCGCACTAGAGTGGGCTAACATCATGCTTGTGAAAAGCCTCATGACATCCACAAACGAGGACCGCGTTGTTCTTCTCGAACTATTTAAGGCAGCGGATCACCTGGCGACGTCTATGAAATACAGTGAGCCGCTACCTAGCGATGACGATAGTGAGGATGGGGGACCAGCTTCCGGGCAGCCAAGTCACTCTAAGGTAAACAGTAAAATCAGCTATGCCAAACAGAAAAAGCTGTATCATGCCAAAAAAAAAGAAGCGTTGCATAATGGGGAGACATCCGCTAATATTTGGAAGTTAGAGTGCGATGTTATCTACGCTGAGGCCCTCTTGATGAGGGGCATATGTCAGCTTATGATGAATTCGTATCTAAAAGGTGGGATCAACCTTCGCAAAGCATGGGGTTGTTATCATAGTCTTATTCATAAAATGGAGGAGGACAAAGAGGGAAAGATACCAAAGGAGTTGAGAATGTGTATAAAGTACGGTGCCGGTACATTCTACTCATTTCTTGCCCTCGTTCCAGCCAACCTTATGAAGCTTCTATCACTTATTGGATTTGTATCTGATAAAGACGTGGGTGAGCAATACTTAACTGAAGTGTTCGAAAGTAATACTATTCGCTCTCCTTTCGCTGGGTTGGTTTTGTGTACGCTTTATTTGTTTCTGCCTACTGGTCTAGGTGATGTCGAGGCCACTTTGTCGCGAGCCAATAAAATTCTTGAATCAATGAACGTTCGCTGCCCGAATAACACGTATTTTTATGGTTATGCAAACTTTTACTATAGGAAGAGGGGTGATGTTGATACTGCTATGAGCTCTATTAGCCTTGCATTAAACAACTCAATGAGTGTTGGGGTTACACCACTGCTCATCAAGTACGTTTACGCCGATACGCTCTTTATGCATCAGAAATGGGATGAAGCTCTGGATCAGTACCTTGCTTTGCTTGACCATATACACAAGACGAAGGAGTCTTTCGCATATACTGGGCAGGTGGCTCTTTCTATTGCCGCTTGCTACGTTATGATCGGGAAGCATGAGGATGGCATGAGCTGGATGCGGAAGGTTAATGGTATGCACAACCCTAAATCGAAAAATGATGTGAACTCACCCAAGTTTGCCCTTCGTGTGATAGCAAATCCGCGGCTTCTTCCATTTTCAGGCGTCTACATGCTTTATATCAACCGTGATTTGGCTCACATGCATAGGGAGCAGGGGGAGCGTGTACTTTCCGAGCTTAAACGTGTACTGGAAGGCAAAGATATCACTGGAGCAGAAGCCGAGAACATGTATAATCTTTTTGTTGGTGTCATTGAAAAGGGGTGCAAAAATACAGAGGTCGCCCTAAAATACTTTCAAAAAATTTTTGATGTTGAAAAGCATATTCCTAAGGATTCTATGATTCTCCCTTTTACTTACTATGAAGCAGCTGAAGTACGGTATCGTATGGGGGATCTGAGTGAAGCCAAACACTTATTTGATAAAGGACACAAGATCAAGGGAGACGGAAATGAGACGTTGTCAAATCGGTATCGCATCGCCATGAAACAGTTAAAACACGCCATGAGTGGTTAGTGTATGCGTGCCGTGGATCAGTTCAACTTTTTAGTCGTTTTCTATAACCGGGACTTTTTTTTTCATTAAAGACTTGGTTTTCTCTGTTGATTTCTTAACAGATTTTCATAAGCCTTTTAAGATGTGGCTTTACACATTGTGTATAATAAAATGAAATTTGTAAGAACATCGAAATGGAACTTTTTTTTTTTGGTGTTTAACCAAAACTTTTGTGCTTATTTTTTTTATTATTAAATATATGATTCCAATGAGGAAAATACTACGCTGATTGAAAAGGGTTAGTTCATATATGTACGGCGTACTTTATTTGGGATATAAAATAGAGATTTAATACAGATTGACGACAATACACCATCCCTGAAGCTGAAATCACTATAGCTTTGATTTCTGGCCAAGGTGGGGAAATTCGATGGCTTTCAAACAGATTGAGAAGTAGAAAATATATTCAATGACAGCACTGTGTAATAAAACTAACCCACGTTTGTTTCGATTTCCTAAATCAGGTACATAGTGTGCGCCTATCTACTTTTCCCAATTACGCTTTTAGATAAAAGGAAACCATATTTGACCGAAAATTTTTGATTCGCTTCTAGGGCTATTAGCGTCGTTATGGGGGATAGAAAACAAGAAGTAGCACCCGGTTGCGAACGGGATTCAAAGGACGTTGGAGAAGCAACGAGTGGTCTTTCAACTGACGATGTGCATGCCGAAGGCTACGCGCCGGAGGCAACAACAAACCAAAATATGGCTGCAGCGGAGCAGACCCAAGAACAAGAAACCCATATTAACACTGGCGCTAACTGGGAGGAATTTAGCAACACAGTTATAGCGGCGGATCGTTTTGATCCAATGGAGGAGCAAGTCTATTATTACCAGGATGAGGACGGCAATTATTATTGCTATACAAACCCACAGTTAGTGGCTGAGAGCGAGACATATGATAGTGCCCACACCCATGTCGCGCGTGATAGTTTGGCTAGATATCACGAGTACATTAACTGGAGGCCACGCAAATATGCCTTTCCCATCGACGTTATAGTCTATACATTTGTATCCAATGCGTATAAGCTGTATCTCAGTCTTCTTCTTTATTCCGCGGGAGTACTCATTATTCTAACAGGCTTGGACTATACTTTCTCTGTGGTGTATCATATTTACAACCCACCGTCCAAAGAAAAACAGGTCATGCAGGTGATCTGTTTCTTATCGATGTTTTTCTACCTCACCTTTGCCATAGTGAACATCATATGCGTGATGCTAGACATGCTAACCAATATTTGGTCGCAAAAACTTGATGATATTCAGTTTTGGGGCATGTCACATATGTGTATCTCAAAGCGGAAACCACCGTATCTGGTGTACTTGACGATTTTTATAGCAACGGTCATCCTACCACTAATATGGAGTGTTGTTGATGCCGCTTCAAGCAATAATACAGCACTGTATTGGTTACAGTGCTACGCAGCGGTTGCGGTCATCGTTGCTGTATTTATGGTGATAGTGTGTTATGTGTGGTTCTACTGGCGATCTATAGTATACAAGAGCTCGGCTTTACGCAAATACAAGAAACGAGACGAATTTCCTTATCGCAAGGAGGCATACAAACATCATCCCGAGAAAATGAGAAAAACTCACTGGTATCATGCTCAGACTGTTCTGGAGGAATTCGGTTTTGACAGGATATCTGTGAGATGTGATTCGATCGTCTTCACAGTTGGGTGCGTCCCACTTTTTGCCATGTGCGCTGTTCAGGTCTTGAGCACATACACAGGGGATCCGTCGGTGCTGTGGGCTGCTATTGCTTCATTAGCGCTTGTCTGTATCTATACCGTTACTTGGCTCTCTTTATTTCAGAGGAAAAATCATTGGTACATTTATATGACTCTCTTATTAAATTTTGCTTTCCTTATCTTTGGCATAATTGGGGGTCTCAGCACCGGGGAGCCATCCATGGCTGGAGTCGTAGTTTTACTCTGGTTTATATCCCAATACATGCTGATTCGTAGGCGGATACATTCACTGTCGGATAAGGAACTGCGCACGATGCTAGAAATTCCGCCGGATTACAAAGCTGAAGAAGAGAGACATAAAGTAAAGATAAATTCATATTTATTTTGTTGCAATGATGTCATCTTAGATTATGCCAGTTGCTCAAGCAAGATGTACTTTCAGCATAAGCATCCCGATGTCCGTGCTGCGGAGGAAAGCCGTAACATTGATCGAATGGCCCTGAGAAGCGATCAGAAAGTGCTCCTAGTATGGTGGTTCTTTGTCTTCTTTGCTGTTGCATTCGTCATTGGGGTGGGTAATACTGTTCGGTATATGCCCAAGGGTAATATTGCGCAACTAGCGAGTGCAGTGCAAGCGGGAACTGATCCTAATTCTCCTGTATGTCAGGTGGTGTACAATAGTAATGGCAATGCCCCACTCAAACTCTACGATTTGGCGTTGCTAAGTGCATTATCTTTCACCTATTCAACGTTCAGTGATAATGACTTCGCTACGTGGTTTTCGCACCGGAAGGATTTTACGCGCGTTTACCCCAAGAAACTCCCTCCTACGCTTGACTACCAAACCGATGGAACAGCTATTCGTTATTCTGTTTATAACGACAATTCATCAAGTTTCTACATTATCACGCTCAATTCCAACAGTAGAGGTCTGTCTGTTTTTCGCAACATGAATGATTGGGGTGAGTCAATTGTTTTACGAGTTGCGGAAGCTATCACTCCCTTAATAAGCCTCTGGCCAGACAGCTACAAGAAAGGTTTTGTTCAGAATGCAAAGTTTTTCAAGGATTGGTTCCCTCGCTCAAATAACCTTGATAATGTGAGAAAGACTATTGAACTCCTCATTGAGAAGGGGTTTATGAAGAATATTCTCTTAGTGGGTGATCAATTCAATGGGGGCTATGCTAAATTGCTTTCGGACGAATACAACATCCCTTTCTTTGCTTTTAACTCCCCTGGAGTAGGGTATAAACTTTCATCTATGGTCAATGGCTCACAGATATCTGCGGTGCGGGGGTTGTGGTCGTATGTGGATTCTCTAGAGGATTCTGGTATAGCCATGCGTTATCCATGCGCCAGTTCCCATTCTTCAGCTAATTGTACTCGAATAACCGCTGTCATTGACTACATTTACAATCTTTGTGGTGATCCTTACAGGAGAATCATTCGAAATATTTAGAATTTTTTGTATTTCTCAAAAGCAGTATTGTTTTTAGATTTGTTTCATTATTGTTGTCTTTAAACACCTGTGTTTCCTGCTTGAATAGTTATATTTCTAGCATTCTTTTCTGGTGTTTCAGAGTAGATAATCCCCCCTAAAAATCCATTGTTTTGATTCATTAGCTATTTTCTTTCTGTGGAGGGCGAGAGATTAATGAAGTGGATTTCTGATGTTCCGTATGGATACACCTGATTTTCTCTCCTCCTCCTGTTTATCTGTTCTTGATTTTCCTGGACTGCAAATAGAATTAAAAGTGATGGTGAATCAAGGGGTATAGAGGTGCTTGCCTATTTTTAATGAGCATGTGCTTTTGATACTTTTATTCATAAAAAAATTGAATCCTTGCTTCATTAAGTCATAAATTTTATTCCTCGGAGATTTCTCTTCATTCCCTCTCTCTTTCCCATTCTTGCTTAATGCCTTTTTTTTGATCCAAGGAGGAATGCTCCTACCTGTTGATTCTTACGCCGTTTCCAACGATTGTGGGCTCTCGTGGCACCCCTTCAGAAGGTCAGCATCGCCAATAGTTTCGGCTCCAGAATGCCGCACTTTGCCTATGTCCAACGGCCTATCTCCCCCGCACACAATCCAGAACCGACTGAGTTCTCCCAGCGGCCTGGCACCGCCTCAAAAGTCTACGAAGGCATGGTGGCCAGTCTACCGCCCCACAGTTAGCACTCTTGAGTACTCCCCAGCCCACTACTTGGCTCCGCCGCGCGTCAACGAGCGGGTGGGGAGACCAAATATATTTGATGACGATGCGAACCAGGAGGGTCTGCTGCATTCACCGGATCCCAATGCGAGCATTTCGTGTTCCCTTTCTCCTATTGATGGGGTGCGGTATCAGTGCACGGCACCGCATCGTTCCGCTTCCGCTTCTGTAGCTCGTCACGCTTCTTCAGCCAACGCTTTAGTTCACGCTTCCGTTCAGCGAACATCTTCAGCTGTTAATTTTACTCCGCTGCACCAGCCGCAGAAACATTTGTATAACAACTGTGGGGCTCTCATTGAGGAGCGGGATATGACCTCCGGAAGGGTTATTGCCAAGTTTAAATGTGGTGCGGAGCTCGGCAAAGGTGGTTTTGCTAAAGTCTTTGTTTTCACAGAGATACGAACCCTGAAAACCTACGCCTGCAAAGTGGTTGATCGCGCGAAGCTTGGCCGAAAGGGTGATGCAAAAGTTAATATGGAAATTGCGACGCATAGAAATATGAACCATCCAAACATTGTGAAGCTTTACCGTGCATTCAGTGATGATTTCTATTACTACATACTACTAGAGCATTGCTACCATAAAGATTTGTTAAAGATTGCCAACGAGAAGGTTTCATTCACCATGCGCGAGCTACAACACATTCTTCATCAATTAACGAGTGCGGTAGAATACATGCACATGTCAAACATCATCCACAGGGATATAAAACTGGGGAACACGATGATGGACTTCAAAGGGAATTTGAAGATCGGTGACTTTGGTTTTGCTAGCAAGCTTAACTATCCTAAGGAGCGCAAAATTCGCATATGTGGTACACCAAACTACATTGCTCCTGAAGTTCTCACATGTAGCAAAACCAATAAGGGATATGGGTTCGAGGTCGACATTTGGGGTCTCGGAGTAAGTATGTTCATTCTGGCCTTCGGTTACCCTCCCTTCGAGGCAAAGGATATTGGCTCCACGTATGAGAGAATCGTGAATGTGGATTATAGATTACCCTCCCACACCTCAGTACCTGAGAGCTGCATTGATCTTATCCGTTGGATGCTCCAAAAGGACCCGCAGAAGAGACCCACCCCCATGCAGATTCGACAAAGTGCGTTTCTTAGGGGCTTGGAAGACATCAACGCTCCGCCGCGTTCGCTGGTTCCACCACCATCACTGTGCGCCGATACGAACCTTTTATCATCCACAACCTCCCCGATTGTGTCGAGTTCACCTTATGTTCCCACGCCAAGCGCCCCAAAGGACTGCGCCCAACGAGAAGCGGTAAAGGAGTGCGAGACGAGGCAGGATTGTGCCGCCGATTACGAGATACGCAAGGCTTTATCTGAGTTTCTTAACAATGATGAACATCGAACTGGAAACGGTACTCGGATACCGTTAGATGAGAATATGGCTGTGAAACGTTCAAGGAAACCACCTCCACCAGATGTGTTCTTTAGAAGTGCACTTTTCGCATCCAAGTATGGCCATGGATTCCTTGGAGAATGCAAAGGCAAAGAGGCTTCTTCGTTGTTGTTCAATGATAAAACCAAAATGATTTACGCTCATGATACGGATACAGTTTTCTATCGTGCTCGCCGCCGTCGACGAGGTGCGCAACAAAATGAATACCGCACGTGTAATGAGTCCCTGCACATCTACCGAAACGCTACCCCGACACTAAATGCGGAGCCCGTCGGTGTGGGCGCGGAGAGTGTTGATCCATATCAAGGGGCAGCCCACAAGAAGCTTGGCATTGCCAAATTCCTCTTTCCTTACCTCAACAAGTCCTGCTCCGATCCAACGATTCCTCTTGTTTGCTCTACATTTAAGAATCGTCTCGCTACCAGCTCTGCGCTGTTTTCAAGTGATCCATACCAAAATGACGACGATGCATCAGGATTTTTTGTGCGGGAAGTCGTAATGGAACGGATGTCAAACCTAACTGCCAAGTTCGAAAATGCAGATGTGCGCTTTACCGTTTGCAGATTTTCAAACTTATCATTTCAGGTTTCTATTCAAAGTGGAAATGAATGCCCTGGAGGACTGATCCCACGCGCTGAGACCCCAATTGTGGTCCGTGGCTCGCCATGGTGTATGGATTTACTTCTTTACTCTGGATTTCACATGGTCTTGGGGTTTGAAACTCAGAACACTCGCTTTTATCAATCTTTTATGGATATTAAAAACGACACCAAGGTGATTAATAATGGACGCACCTTTTTTGCCTCGGGATCTAGTTCTAATAAGTTGCAATTCACCATTCCAGTAGATCTTCTTCAACTAATTTGTGTGTTGCTCAAGCGTGTGCATTGTCCGAATGACATCGCTGATCGCTTTCAGTAAGGGACTAGAATACGAATACAGTATCTCCCTTCCATGGTCCCAGTAGCAATACCCCCACTCTCCACCCCTACCTACTCATATACAAATAAATGTATATACATATTTTTTTATGTGTATATATTTATACTATTCACTTAAAGCACAAATGCCATAGAATATCATAGAGCTCTAAGTTTTCTTTTAGTTTCTTTGTAGCGAATCACCTGACAGCACAACCTTGCAAGGAAAGGCGAGGCAAAAATAACCGAAAAAGGTAGATGTCGAAAGATAACATGCTGAATAAAGAAACTTAAGCAGAGGCATGAATATTAGTTCTGGTCATTTTCATTTGGCTTTCATCACCACTAATAGACTATCTCTTTCTAACCCATTTCATCCTTACAATACTACCATTTCTTGTAGTGTTTTAGATTTACTTTAACTAATTACAAAAAATCGTAGTGAGATGCCGTTTTTGATTTCAGAAAGTAAAGAAGCCAGCGCCGTTCTCAATGTTTTAAAAGGATTCTTTCTCGACTCGAAAACACCGAATGTCATTTTCGCTTGCGGGAGGGTATTATCGCTTTTCAAGTACGTTAAAGATGAGATGCAGCCGAAACTCATTCGAGTACAGGATTTCAAGCTTAATTGTGTGCTGAAATACGTGCAAGCGGTTCCGCTTGTGAACCCCGAGTCGAACAACTTATATCGTCATGTCCTCTTCATTCTTTCTGTGAAGCAGGAGATCTCGATCATCGCGTTGTCAGGTATGCGCAAAGAGATTTCTCTTTTGACGCTGTTTCATAGCGCCGTTGATAGCTGTTTTTACCAATACTACCCAGGTGAAGTCGATCTTGCATGCTCCACCACATTCGATACTGGTGTGACTGAGCCTCTCGTTGCATTTGGAATTAATCGCGGCGATATATTTGTGGTCGATGTTCTTGCTGCTATTGGCAGCAGTATGAACAATACCACGAAAAGCTACCTTCCATCGAGCCTCGTCCACCTCGCGGAGGAACGTACGGCACATGGTTCTTATTCAAGATGCACATTTGATTTGGTTGAGTACGAAGTTCGCGATATTGCGTTTGGTAAAATGGGATCCAGCAGTGATCCAGTTCTGTTTGTATTATATGCCGACGCCCATGGGCGAACCCATGTTTCTATTTACACCTTTAGCAACCACGTTGATTCCCTCGGGCGATCATCGGAGCCGCAGACCTACGGTTCTTCCTTAGTGCATGTACAAGGTGCGGTGACAGCGCGTGACGGCAGAATTTCGCGAAGAGGTGTTTTAGTGTCCAATGCGGACCCCAGCGCCGCGAAGATCATATCCCTTTCAACTGTAGTAGCCGTTATAGGATCTCAGTTACTAACACTTGTTGCCAAGGAAAGTCAGCATGTCCACCCTATTACAGATTGTTTTCCACCGGGAATTGAATTTTCATGTGCTTGTAAGGGCAAAGATGACGAAATATTCGTTTTTTTCAAGGATGGGTATTTTTTACATACCGATATTAGCAAAGTGCTGAATCACAATAAGTCACTAAAGCTGCTAATTCGGCGTTTAGAGGTACCGACGTTCCCTACCTCGATTACTCACCTTGACAGGACTTGGCTTGTGATTGGCTCGCGTCTTGGTAGCTCTCTTCTTTTTGACTACCGCGTTCCTTCCTCATTTGAGGTGGTCGTTAAGAACTGTGGTCCGGTTATGGACATGACGGTGATCGAGCAAGGTACGTACTCAACGGTAGTCGCCAGTACCGGTACGGGCCCATACGGGGGCATTAGTATAGTCCGCTCCTCGGCTAGTTTCATTGAGAAGACGTTTGATTTGTCTCTGGCTCCAAGGGCTTCAAAGGTTTTTTGTGCACGCCACCTTGTCGTCCTTTCAACAAGTTGTGGAAGTACCTTCTACTCCTCCACAAATCACAAGATGAGGCAGCCTAGTAGAATTGACCTTGCCAACCCCTTCCCGGGTTATCCGGTTGTTCACTTGAGTTATAACGCTTCAACTTGTCAATATCTCCTAGTTTACGCATGCGGTGCTTGTTCACTTGTTGAGAAACCGCGGGAATTCCACCTTGTTGCGGTGCACGAGTGGTCTCTCGGTTCTCCTGTAAGCTTTGCATCAACAGTTGATGACTGTTTGGTAATCTCCGATGGATACCAGTTAGTGGAGGTCAGGGAACTAAAAGAGCTGTGGATGTGGCGCTCCGAAGAATGCTTATCCGCACTACTTTTGCTCTCAACGGAGTTAGTTGTTTACGGCGATTGGTCGAGTCGCATTTCGATTTATAGCTTGGTACAGCATGCTGCTTGTGGTGGCGTTACTTTATCATCCGTCCCACGGAGCATTTGCTCGACATGGCATGCAGGGAGTGACATCAAACTATTCGTTGGTCTTGTAAGTGGCTATGCCGTGGAAACAAGCTTAGAGCTTCTAAAAAATGGTTCCATCTTACGTGAGATTTTTCTTATGCACCGACCAGTTGAATGTGTTCCTTTAAAAGCCTATAACTGTCTCGTTTGTCTTGGAGAGTGGCCGATTCTCATTCGTGTGTCAGAGAAAAATGTTCAACTAACGAGTCTCCCCATCCCTGGATTGTCTGACATATGTGTGCTTGGGGAGGCTGAGGAAGACGCTGTGCTTGTTGTGAAGGAAAATGGTTCAAGTGTGGCTATCGGGGACTTGGAGCACACACAGAAGGTGAATTTTAAATTTCTGGAGTTGCAATGCACAGTTACCCATTTAGCTTGGATTTTACCCTGGAGTGGATTTGTAGTGTCGCTTCGTGGTGCTCTGATGGATCGGATTAGTTTCATTCCTTTAGAGGCCCTGGAATGCCCGACGATGATGGACTCCAAATCGCTTGTACATCAAGGTGTCCTGCTATTAGAAAACGAGCGCTGTGTTTTTATTGAGCCACTGTCACTTGGATTCTCTAACGAAACCGACGTTAACAATGAATCCGTCTATCAGATGTTTCCCGATCGGTTCGTCGTCTTGGTCGGTTCCACCTTCACATTTCCGGACGAGCAAATTGCTCGCTCAAGTCGCATCACATGGTATCAACTGACTGAGGGGAGATTACTTCGACATGTCGCGGATAAAGACATCGTCGGGCAGCTCCAGTGTTGCTGTATCGTTCCCCACTACCCTGGGCGTATCGCTCTCGGAATAAGTGGATGTGTCTGCATCTACCAATGGGATAAGAATGAGGAAACGTTTATGCCTGAGGAGAAGAGAGTCATTGGAATGATCATTATAAAGCTTGTGCCGCTGTATGACTGCCAAATGCAAAATAAGCATGTGATTGTGGCACTTGATGTGCGCTACAGCGCGTTTTTTTTATCGGTTGATCCCCTTCAGGGAAGTATTGAGATTCTGAAAAGGGATCCCCAACTGCGTGGAATCATGGATGGTGCGATTACTGACACCGGTGAGTTGTGCATGTGCGATGATCACATGAATTTTTACTGCGTTCAGCAAGAGTCTGGGGACCACAACCGTCTCGCTACAAAGGCACAGTGTCACTTGGGAGACCTGGTGACCTGCATGCGTATTGGTACTCTAGCACTCCCCACTTTGCAAGAAAACTGCACGCCTAGCATAAAAAGTCTCCTTCCGGGTGTTTCCGGACGACAAATGGTTTACGGGACAGCTCATGGTGCGTTCGGGATCATTACGCCAATAACACGAACAGCTTACGTTTTCATGAAGTCGTTGGAAGTTGCCATGCATCACCATTTACCCTCCCTCGGCGGGTTTTCACCGAAGGACTTCAGCGAAGTTATGCACACAGGACAAGAGAAGTCCCACAATCGCAACATATCGTTTTTTGTTGGTAGAAATTGCGGTAAAGACCTCTCAAGGGCACGCGAAACGTGTGATGGAAATACCATTGAGGCCTTTTTGACTCTCGAACGTCGAGGGAAGAGGCATGTATTGGAAATAGCGCAACGCATTACGCTCGCTCTGTTCGATGAAAGCGCGGCTAGCTTTACTGATCCAGATGAGTTGACTGGGGTGCCGAGTAAATCACGGGCTTCGGAAGAGGATGATATTATAGACAGGTGCAACCATTTGCTAGCCAATCAAAACCTCCCAAGGCTTCCTTATGAAGTTAGCGACATAGAGCAGCTTATTTTTGATCTCCAAAGAATTCATTAAAAATTATCGTAATAATGAAGTCTATAAAAAAAGATACAAAAATAACCTTATAAAATTGCTTTTCACTCTTTGTGGTTGTTTTGCGTCACTCTCTCCTTTACAGCGGGAGAAGAAGAGTATTAAATGAATACATTCCACAACGTTTCTGTATTCCGCATTAAACTTGATATTTTTCCATTGAATTATCTATTTCCTTTTCCTCTTCCTCTGCTTTCGAATCCTTATTAGAAGGAGCTCACAGTAATTCATAATGAAGTACCTAGCCGCCTACGCGCTGGTCTCGCTTTCCGGCAAGACACCCTCTCAGAGCGATGTAGAGGCAGTCCTCAAGGCTGCTGGTGTGGCAGTTGACTCTTCGCGTATTCGTTCCCTCTTCAAGGAGCTCGAGGGAAAGAGCTTCGATGAGTTGTGCATGGAGGGGAAGAGCAAGCTCGGTGCCGGTGGCGCTGCTGCACCTGTCTCTGGAGGTGCTGCCGCTGCGGCTTCTGGAGCTGCCCCTGCCGCTGCTGTCCCTGAGGCGGACAACAATAAGGCTCAGCCCGTGGACGATGACGAAGACGACATGGACTTTGGTCTCTTCGACTAAGCCAAAAGAGGTATCAATGTCCTAACATGATTTTTGTGAGCCAAGCTTCTGTTATGTTTTGTTCAATAAAATGATTTCTTATAAATATATATAATAACATCCAGACTTTCTAAAGCATGGTGGGCTAAAACCACATATGAAGATGCGTAGGGGTTCATCGTTTAGTATTGTTATTTCCACTTATTTTTGTCAAACATATAAACATAATTTAACTAGTGTTTTTAGAATGAAGTACCTAGCCGCCTACGCGCTGGTCTCGCTTTCCGGCAAGACACCCTCTCAGAGCGATGTAGAGGCAGTCCTCAAGGCTGCTGGTGTGGCAGTTGACTCTTCGCGTATTCGTTCCCTCTTCAAGGAGCTCGGGGGAAAGAGCTTCGATGAGTTGTGCATGGAGGGGAAGAGCAAGCTCGGTGCCGGTGGCGCTGCTGCACCTGTCTCTGGAGGTGCTGCCGCTGCGGCTTCTGGAGCTGCCCCTGCCGCTGCTGTCCCTGAGGCGGACAACAATAAGGCTCAGCCCGTGGACGATGACGAAGACGACATGGACTTTGGTCTCTTCGACTAGAAATAGAAATAAAATTTTTTTATTTTCATAGTTAATTATTTTCCAATACAAGCCTTTCATTTATTTGATTTGTGCAGGGAATGTACTTTCAAGCAGATGACAGAAAACATACCCTATTAACTAAAGTAGCCCTTTCTCCCTTAGCTCTATAATTTGGTGCAGGGCCATGGAGCTCAATCAAAGCCATTTTGAAGTTAGTGCCATAATACTATTATGTTTCAGTATTTAGTCTGCGGCTCATTTAATGATGAGGCTATATTATTTTAGACAGTTAACATATGCGTCGATCCCTATGAGAGGGTAGCCTGAACTAAAGCAGACGGATCCACCCCTCTAGTCAACAGGATTTTTTCACTCTTTCTACATCTGTTTCAGTGAACAGACATAGGTCAAATCGCGAATAACGGTGAGTACTACTGTATTTCATGGGACATTTTTTTCGGAAGTTATTCTAAGTTGCAAAGGGGGGGGTGTAGCACACTAGAAAAGGGCACGTTTCCTGAAAAAAGCATCTAACCGTTATCTTCCTCCCCCCCTCCCTCCCCAAATTAAAGGAATAAGCCCTAAGCACTGGAATACCATAAGAGTATTTTTTAGCACTTAAGTTCTTCTTTCCACATGTGGTGCGAGGCGCTTTCCTTTGAAATGACATACCACAGGAACCATCATGTGATGAGAAAATAAGACTTGTTGACTGGTGTGTTTCACTGATCTCTGTGGAATTCACGTATAATTAGTGCTGTCATGATGTGCAAGTGAAGAAGTTTACCTATCGAACACATTGGCGTGAAGAATATACAGTCATCACTACCTAGGTTACGACACTAGTAAAAGTTATCTGAATTTTGCGCTTGGTGTGACAGTGTTATTGCCGTCACTGGGTTACACAAATTGGGTGCAGGTGTTTCACACCTCCCCTGAGCTAAGTGGATCTTCGTAGCAAGACTAAGGATTCTTAAATGGATTCTGAGTTTTCATTTATCGTCCCTCCGTACCTTCCTTGCGCAGAGAAGAAGTGGTACACATATTTACATAAAAAGAATAAGGCAATGTTTGGGCCTAATGTATATAGTATCTTTGCATCATCGAAGTGGTCCGCGAGCGGAGTGTCCAGTCGAGAACAAATTTTCATCGTCGTTTCTTCATTTGTCTGATGGTTAATTTTATTTCCATAGCAAAGGAGAAAAGAATAAAGTAACACTGCATTACTAATCAAAGGATCTTGTTTGTATTTCTAAAGGTATATGAGTGACCAGGTAGGAGTCAAACAAGTACACAGAGTCGCTCGAATGCGCTCCCCACACAGTGGGCTTCATGAAAGCTTCGAGTCTTCTCACACGGATCAATTAATTAGAAATGATAAAAAAGTATTCGACAAACATTCTACCCAGTTGCCCCCTGAAGATATGAATTATATGGAACGCATTCTATCCTTAGTGACCAAAACGGTTTCTGGGCTTCTGGGACCGAAGTCAGACGAGTCAATCAAAGCGAAGCAACCATCTACACCCATGGTTTCATTGAGTGCATCTTCAGATCGTAAGCCTTTGAACGCATTTTCTAACCGACCAACTCAATCTCATAAAACTTTACCCGGCGCAGATTTCCAGCTCCCATTTTCTGAGAAAACAAAAGAAGTAAATATTGCGCAAAGAGCATCATCCATGAACCTGTCGAACTCCCCAGCGCAGAAATCACCCAATATTGTTGTAAACCAATTTTTTAATGTTTATGACACAGGTGCTGAGCAGAATAAAATCCAAGCGCCGCTGTATAATCCCTTTTTATACCAGGTTGCTCCATTAGCAAGTGCGACTGTAAAGCCGAGCTACGCAGCAAGACCATCTATACAGTGGAAAAGAGGGCAACCATTCGCTGAAATCCTGTCAACCTCACAGGTCAAAGTCCCTCGTATCCAGCATAGCCCCTCACAACAAAACCAGGCGGTAGAGAGGGTAACTCGGACAGTAATTGGTATAGAAAAAGAACCACAAAATACTGCCCTCAAAAGAGACAGCGCCCATGCTGATCTACCTATGAAGGACACCCTAAGAAAAAGGAATAGACACGACGACCTAACAAACATCTCGTCCAATATTTTAAACACCAGTACAAAATTTTCGGTAAACAGCAACAGCTTTGTGAAGGCTGGGCCACCAGCCGTGGTTCCCGTTGACGATGGCTTCGCCTCGGATGCGAGCAGTGATAATGGGAAGGGCAACACTGTGGACAACAAGAGACAGCGCAAGGAGGAAGAAGCCCCTGCGAAGCCAGCCTTCTCGTTTGGTGGTGGGGCCTCATTGAAGCCAGCATTCACAGGCGCCGCTCCTACCAACCCGTTCACGTTTGGCTCGTCCAAGGCTGCCGTTGCAGCACCAGGTGCGCCACCTGCTCCTGCGCCGTTTGGCAGTGGTACCGGCTTTGTGAAGGCTGGGCCACCAGCCGTGGTTCCCGTTGACGATGGCTTCGCCTCGGATGCGAGCAGTGATAATGGGAAGGGCAACACTGTGGACAACAAGAGACAGCGCAAGGAGGAAGAAGCCCCTGCGAAGCCAGCCTTCTCGTTTGGTGGTGGGGCCTCATTGAAGCCAGCATTCACAGGCGCCGCTCCTACCAACCCGTTCACGTTTGCCTCGTCCAAGGCGGCTAATCCACAGGCAGCATTTGGGATGACCGTGTCGTCCAATCCTTTTGATCCAAATGGGAGTAAGTCAAGTGCGTCTTGAGTCTAATATTTTATGGGTTATAACTAGACAGCGTATAGAATTAAGAAATGGATGGGTAACACTGGGGCCAGATTTCGTAATCTGTTGCACTGCAGCGTATGCAGAGAATTATTTCTTTTTATTTAAAGAATAAAACATGTGTGGGTACGTAACGAATTTGAACTCTGTGCTTCAAGTTTTCTAATTTTTTGGCGGTCGATTCTTCATTCTTAAGTTGCTATATTAACGTGTGCAATGCACCCGCTTTCACATGTAATGGGATTGCTTTGCGAGAAAAAATGAGAAAATTATCATTTTCCTTGTTTTCTATCTAGATCAGTGACTTCACAGCGTCTAGCTTATCTCATTTTTCCGATGCAATCTCTTATCTCACGTTGTGAAGAAATACAAAAAAAAATTCAATTGATTCACGATCGGGGAGAGAGGGAGCAAAAGCTTTTTGATACGATCTCTGCAGAGCATCCAGAGCTGTCTGGAGAAGAAGTAGTAGCTTATGTCCAATCCAAAGTAAAGGAAAGTGAACCCAAGTCTATTAACTTCAATGGACATTGCCTATCTGTCGGTGATTATGTAGAGACAATCAATGATCCTGAGCTCCTTGCTCGTGCAGAGCGTGGCCATTTTGTTCAATCAGCTACGAAGGAGATCTATCTTGGGGAGAAAGGGAAAGTCACACGAATATGGAGCTCTTTTCAGGGGAAACCAGCGGTTGAACTCTTGTTCGCTGATGATGCCCAGAAAACATTTTTGCTCGAGTGCATACATTTCGGTGATAGACAAAATGTGAAAGAGACCACTTCTGTCAAGCACACAAAAAAAGCATCACTTCCTAAAGAGAAGCAATCTTCGGCACCTCTACGAGTGTCGTCATCACCTCAATGGGATGAGATCATCCAGCTCAAGAGTACAGTGTCAAACGTACCAAAGGCAAAGCCAACAGAAGCTACACTTCCATCCGAGCAGGAGCTTCCTGCGTCTCCAGTTAATAATACGCAATATGTGGAAAGAATTGGGAACAGTTCAACGGACAAGCAAGCTTCCACAGTGTGTCCTCCTGCAATTGAGGCTATACCTCAAAGGCAGCCTATCACTTCGCTTGAACCACCTGCAGTCACCTTCCATAGCATTGGCTTGGTGAAGGAGGCTTTCTCTGATCAGTTGGGTCATATTATTACCTCCGGTAAAGAGGAGTTGGGAAAGCCACTCTACATTGCAAACAGCGCCAAAATGATTAACGTGTCGCATGAGATTGATAATCTGGCCAAGACTCCGCGGCCCGATTTCCTCAACGCGTCTCCGCAGGTGAATAGATCATTCACCCCATTCTACCCTGCGTTCGTAAGCCGGGTGCCTTTACGTTGTCCCCCTGGCTACCGCCCAAAGTTCTCAAAGGACGATCCTGACACAAACATCCCGTGGCATAAGTCGTCCACGCACATGGGACTCAAAAGATGTTGGGTTGCAGGGTATGATTCTGACAAGTCAGGTGACCTTCGTTTTTGTAAAATGATGATTCACACAAACATGAATTCACTAGAGGCTATACTAGGAGCAGCCACGAAGGAGTTAGGGTGGAAGACCACAGCGAAGCGTTTGTTTTCTGAATCCGGAACCGAGATTATGTGGGCTGATGCCATCCTTGACAATTCCCGTCTGGTCGTAACAACGGGTTCAAACTTTCATCCGGCTTTATTAAACCAAATGGATTCCCAGGTTGATGCGAGGCAAACTTCTGATACAAAAAGTAAACCACACTTCTCCGAGAATAAATCAGATGAGGTGTCTCAACAATATCAGTCTATGTCCCCAAAGACTAATGAAGAGCGGCGTTGCGCCTCCTTGAGCAGGAAATCTAATACACCGCGGAGTAAGACATCGGGCGTAACTATAGGCAACTCGTCGGTCTCATCACCATCTACCAAGGCCAGTCGTATAGGGCCTAGAAAACATATTCATATTCGCGTCTATGAGAATGGTAACTACGAATCTGATGAGTACGAAAGAGCGTACCGCACGATTACGATTCGTCCAACCTACCGGACGCTTCATTCCGTTATGGCACTTATAACCCGTGAGTTGGAGTGGAAGCGGGGTATGAAAACTGAGATACTTTTTGATGCGTCAGGGGCAGAAATTACATCGATGGATCAACTTCGTGATGGAGCCTCCGTGATTGCCTCTGCCGGGGATCGCTTTATTGTACCCTATCCAAACTCTTCGCTTCATAAGGAAGCCATCGAGTTTTCTCGGAAGACTATTAATAGATAAAGCCTTCTTTCTGAAAGTTCAGCATGCTCCGTTTTTGGATTGCTTTTCTCTGAGATTTATAGATGAGGAGATTTAAGGATCGAGACGAATACGCCAAGACTGTTATTTATCGGGCTCCTTTCTAAGGCCCAGTACTAATGTTATTAAGCAAAGGTGATCACTCTGCTGTTAACACCCTCGTGTGCTTTTTTCTCTTCCTCAAGCTACGCATAGCCTATCACATTTTAAGCATTAATATATATATATATATATATATATCCATTAGTTCACCGATCTGTCTGCAAATAAAGGCTCGCATCAATCAGAATTTTCGGTTATCATTTTTGAGGAGCTTGTTTTATCCCCTAGTGGGAATGACTTATGGTATGCGTACGCATCTGCACAGCCTGATTTCTAGCTGTAGTGATGATTCTATTGATCTTCAAGCTGCAGTAGATCAGTTCAGCTTAAAGAATGTTGATAACCTCCTCGCTCGTATTGAAGCATGTGTTCATGAGGTGGCCCGTAATTCCTTTCTTAGCACATGCTGGGCAAAAACTTATTTCTTTGGCTCGAACGGACTAGGCGCCGCAATTGAGGGTAGTGACGTGGATTTGTATGGATACAATTTCCCTCATCTTGAGTTTCCTTTTTTTCCTCCCCTCCTCCCCTCCTCCCCTC